GCTCCAAACAAATCCGCTGAAAATCAGAACTCGGCAATATCAAAGCTTTATTCTTGGCACCGTCTTTCTCTATTCTCTGCACGAACTCTACTGGAGAAGTCGATGCCTTCCGTATCGCAGCTGCCACCGCCGCAGCCGATGACACCAACGCGTGCTCCGGCTCCGCCTCCCCGCTATCTCCAGCCTCATTGCCCGTGCTGTTGACGTGATGAAGTAAAGTGGAAGAGTTCGAATTGGAGGAATTGGCGACGGAGAGTTGAGAAGTTTTTGCAGTGGCTGTACAGAAAGTGGATGGACGGGGCCTATTGTAAATAAGGGAGAATATAGGGGCAAAAGTGGAATTATCGGATAGTGGAGTTTGTGGAGGAAACGTAGAGAGCAGCATTTGATCTTCTACAACAGTTGAAAAAATGATCGGAATAAATGAAGAAATGGGAACAAAGTCGCATTTGAACTCCGAATTTGTAGACGCGTGTGTTAATGTTATAAATCGTGCATTTTGAGATGGTCAAAGCTTGAAGCAGCAATTTGTATAAATTGTGATAGTTGAAAAGATACAAAGCAACAGAATAATGGTAACCCTATATATATATATACACACACACACACACACACACACACACACACACACACACACACACACACACACACAGAGACACACATTGTAGACCTAATATCAATAGATAATTACTCTCAACTGAAATTATCTTTGTTGACTATGTGATGTCAAATGATAAAATTATAGATCCACAAACAAAATGGTTAAATAGAGAGTTGATTGGAAAGTCATCGAAAGAAATGAAATATAAACCATTTAACGAATGAGTTAATAATATGAAAAGACAATCTAGTTGATTGAAGATCTCAAAATTGAAGTTCAAATGGATAACCAAATTTTAAAAACTTAATCAAATTACTGTGCGAAATGTTATTTCCTTTCCATTCCTATAATATAACAGTAAAGCCCATGAGGATAAGTAATGTTCTTTTAATTATTCTTAGGTGTAGGAAATCGGGCGGAGTAAAGCACATTACGTGTAATTAAGAAATTACCAATGTGAAAAAGAAGTAGATCGCTTCTAATGGAATTGTGTGAAATCAATTCTTAGAAATATAGAACCAAATGCATGTTCATGGTCACTAACAAACATAACAAAGAGAACTGAATTGTGTTGAGAAGAATACTATGTTGAATATGTTTTCATTTACACAAAAAAAAAAAAAAAGTTGAAAGTAAAGTAAATGTACTTTCACATGTAAATACATATTCTATGCAAGTTTCAATCATTGAACTTTATCACTCAAACTTTTTGTTTTACCTTTTTTCTCTCTCTATTTTATTTATGTGGGATATTATTGAAAAAAATGGCTATATATGACTATTTTGACATAATTTCAAGAGGGATCCATTTCTTCATTTTGGAATATCAACGAAGGTTTGTATTCTTTTCCACGAGAACATCGAAATCATACATTTATTTGTCAAAATTGATGCTTGGGTGAATGAGAAATTGGATATCAAAGTGTATCATTTGGAATATGAATTTTGTTTGAGGGAAAAAATTGAGGTTTTGTCCCCATAGGTAAATGGACAAGGCAATGACTAATTTATATATGACCACATTTTTCAAAGATGTAATAATGTGTAGTATAGATGTTCTCTCTACGTACAAGCACAGGACGAAAGCAGATTATGAATTGAATTAGCACTTCGGATCATTGAACTTGTGTACGAGCGTGATCTATGTACACGAAAATCGAACCGAAATGGGCTGGGTCCAAGTTTTGCCTTTCTTTCTTATATTTTTCTTTTAGTATTTTCTCCAATTGACTTTCCATCTTCTGAAACTCTTGAAACTCTGGTGGTTATGCCTATTTTAATAGGATGTTTATTGCTCGTTAATGGATGAATTTAACTCAACATTCAAGGGGCTAAGCCTATAAGAAAGTTCATTTTTCCTGTATTTCACACAAATTTCTCCATCTTCCTACATATACATTCTCTAATTTTCTATTTGTAAGTATTTTTTGTTTTCTATTTAAAATCTCAGTGATCGTGTTCAGATATGATTTTAATTCATGGAAGAAAAGACTGAATTGCTGAGATTCTACTGATTTCTATTGGGCTTGTGATCCAAATTCTTTTTTTTTTTTATGGAAAAAAATTTGTTTCCTTTATTCCACGTGTTTTTGTTGAAAAAAATATTATTTTCTTTATTCCATGTAATTTTATTGAAAAAAAGTATTATTTCTTTTATTTCAAGCGAGTTTTTATTTTGTTTGTGATATTTTTAGGGTTTAGCATGTATCCCCATAAATATTAGACTCTTTTTATAAGTTTTGTATTGTTAAAATATAGAATAATTGTGTAGGCATAGTTATTGTATTTGTTATCTTCATATTAGTCAATTAAATAAAATACTCTGTTCTTTTTTCAATTAATTCTTTTGCCTTTTATATTGTTGTTTGTTTACGATCATATACTTCATATCATGTCATATATATTACCTCGATCCATTTTATTTCCAAGAAGTGGTATCAGAGTTAGTGGTTGTGATTTGTTCGAGGTTTTTATTATTGATGGTAGCCATGAATTATGAAATTTTATCTCTTGGATCGCATTAAAAGATTCTCGTTGTGACAAGTGAAGATGTGAGCTATACTCTTGCAGATGGATTTGGATGGTGCATTATTGGGATTTGATAAAATGTCCACAACTTGGATGATAGAGGAGAAACAATAGAAGAATTGGAAGGCACTTTTATAGATTTATCTTCATCTCTCTATTAATATTCTTTAGAACGTTTTGAAGGAGAAAATGACAGCTTCGTTGTTGTTGAAATTGGAACAATTGTACATGACCAAAAGTCTAATAAGAAAATTGCATCAAAGCAGAGATTGTATTCTCATCCCATGGCAGAAGGTGGATCTTTGGAAGATCATTTGGCTATGTTCAAGGAGATCTTGTTGATTTGAAGAATTTAAAGATAATTTATGATGAAAAGGATTTTACCTTAATCCTTTTGTTCACTGCCCACTTCGTTTACCTTGTTTAGAAATACGATCTTGTATAGTCGTGATACTCTCACGATTAAAGATACGTATGATGCCTTGTTTTCAATAGAGGAGATGAAGCATCTTGTGGATCTGAGACCAGAGATTGAGAAGGCCTTGCTATTCGTGGTGATCTAAAAGGAATAAGTCAAGATTAAATTTCAGTAATCATGTTTGTTATCATTGCAATAAGAAATGACCGATTAAGAGGAATTGCGTCAAATTGCAAAACAAAGGTAATTTGACTGCAAATCATGGGAAGCAATCAAATACTTTGATGAGACCAACAAAGCTTAAAACTATTTGAATGATGAACATATTTTGACGATTTCGAATATGGAAACTAAACCTGACAATGAGTAAATTTTGGATACAACTTATGCAGTCCATACGTGTTCCAAATATGATTTGTTTAAAACATATGAAATGGTGACACAAAGTGTTGTTGTGATTGGTAACGACAAACCTTGTTGGCTAGCTGGTTTTAGTAGACTCAAATTGAAACTGGTGGATGGAACATGTAAAACACTTGATCATGTTATACATATTTCAGGCTTGAAGAAAAATCTCATTTCGTTAAGTACTCTTGATTCAAAAGGACACACATACTCTAAAGGGGATGGAGTCTTGAGGATTTAAAAGGGTGTTTGTATTGTATTAGAGGGACAAAAAAGGTCCTGGTTATACATCTTGCATGGTCGGACATAATTTGTGAACAAAAGTCAGTATAGATTTAATATTGTGGTGAAAGTTCAATTTGGTACTGTATCTTTAAAAATTGGTTCTTAGTTTATATTGATGAAAACTACTCAATTGAGTTTGGAGGATATGGGTAATTTCGCTGTGTCACAATTACCTCCAGTTCCATCGTATACCATAGTTAAGGATAGGAATATTGGAGATAGGTACGTGAATACTGATTCGGTTACACATGCTTTTAACGTTTTTTAAAGGTGTTGAGACTAGATAGGATCTTTCTATGAAAATATTGAGAATTGATTTTGTTACAGGGTGTGCTTCGATATTATTTCATAATTTCTAAATCTGTATGAATTTTAGGAACCCGGTGTTTAGTTTCATATATCTGTGTCGGATATCATAGAAGATGATGAGTATTTTTGTATTGGAGAAAGTTTGTTCTTGTTGAAGAGTTCGAATTTTTTATTGCAATTGGATTTATTTTTTTTAGATGGAAAAATTTTGGAATTTTGTTCATTGCATCGGAATTTATGTCATTGTGAAGATTATTGGGTTTTTTTTTTTTTTTGCCCAAATATGATTTTTTTTTTTGGAAAAATATTGTTTCCTTTATTCAACGCTATTTTATTAAAAAAAAATTTATTTCCTTTATTCCACATGTTTTTATTAGAAAAATATTTTTTTCCTTTATTCCACATGATATTTTTATCTTGTTTCCATCTTTACGGTATTTCTAGGATTTGACATACACCCCGATAAATACTAGACTTTTTTTACAAGTTTTATATTATTGAAATATTGAATAATTGTGTGGACACCATTATTATATTTGTTTTCTCCATATTAGTCAATTGAATAAAATACTTCGTTCATCTATCATTTAATTCTTTGTTTTTATCTTGTTGTTTGTTTCCTGCAATCATATACTTCAAATTGTGCCATATATATTACTTCGATCCGTTTTATTTTCAACAATTTCTCTATTATATCCTGGGAAATAAACGGTCAAACGAAACCTTAAACACTTATTGTGAGGAGCGAATCTATATTAAGGATATCGTGTAATAAATATGCCTCAATTTGCAAATATGTTCTTTTTTAGTGATTAATATATTTCTAATATTCTTTATATTCTGTTTTGTTTTTTATTAATCAATAAATATAGTATTATATTACGTGACTGCTATAACAAATTTTTCTTGAATTTGTGAAGGGCTAGACTTTAAAAAAATGGATAATGCTACTAGTACAAAGTAGGTTGACAAAGGAGGCTTGCAAAGTGACGTGTACGGCTCATATCAGAAGGCATTGGACGGCTGAGATGTTGGCAGAAATCTTTACCCATTTACTGACCCATTCAGAAATTCAAACGCCATTTACTACCCATTTAGAAATTGAAACCAGAATAGAAGAGAGACGAAAATTCTCAAATTAGGGCGGCAAAAGCGAAGCGGGATTCCAATTGATTTTCACGTTATTTGTTTCATCGAAGAATCCGGCATTGAACGTGATTGCTCGTCCCGTCCATCTTCTCCATCTGTGAAATCGGGTATGGTATGAATTTTTTGTTGGAATTTTGTTGTTTAATTTGAGCTGAAATTTTAGTCACCAGTTATATGTATAGAATGTTAAACATTGCTGGGCATGGAAATTTCAGAATTTTGGTTGGAATTTTGTTGAAAGTTTAAGCAGAAATTTTAATCACCAATCAACAGTACCTATATCTTTCATGTCTCGATCTCTCTTACAAAATATTCCAAAATTTATTTCCTGTAATGCATGATTGTTCTCTGTCATTACCCATTTGTGCATTACC